TGAATAGCATCTAAACACGTAGTATGGTCCCTAATGATAAAAGTTTGGTTGAATTGTTGTTTATTAATTTAAAATTTTAATTTAGAATTAATTTTAAAAATTTGAATCTTGATAATATTAAATAGCTAATTTTTTTATCTATTAAGATGATGATACATATATTTTATAAAATTATATATTTCATTACATACTAATGGAAAACCATCAATATGTAACAAAAATCATCAATTTTAACGTTATAAATAATGAAAACTATTACTATATAACGGGATGTGTAATTTTACCTGGTGTATATATCATTTTCTTAAAAAATATAGTATGGCTTGGAAAAGACTGTTAGACATCTAACAAGAATTAGTAAAGGAATTTAGCTTGCTTTTTATGGTATATTTGATATGAAGAAAAGAGAGTAGAAAAAAAAATCTATTTAGTTAAAAAAAAATAGAGGGAAGAGAAAGAAATGGAAGTTTCTAATTATAGAAATTAAGGTAGAGGGATGGAGAAAGAAAAATGAAGGAAAATAAAAAGATATAACATCTTTTTATTCATTTTTTTTTATTTTTTTCAAATAAAATATATTATTAGAATACGAGCATATGTGGTATTTATTTATCAAATTACTGGTGCATTTGTTGGAAAACTACAAGTAAATTGGGATAAAGTTTGTATTTTGCTCTCGAATCTACTTTCTTTTTTCTCTAAAGAAACATATTGTGAACTTCTTACTAAATTTGGTGAGAAATCTAAATAATTTAAAGTTTAAACAAAACTATGCCCAAAAAAAAAAAAAAAACCATGTACTTTCTAGTTCTACAATTGAAAAAACTATACTCGAAACAGTCTTAGAACGAGGATAAAAATAGGAATATAATAAAAGAGATAAATTGCATAAAATTAAAATTTGAGATTAATGAATAATATGAGTTATATTATTTAAAAAGATTAAAAAAATTATGTATTATTTAATCCTTAATTTTTTTATTTTATTAGAACATGTAATATTATATATATATCAATTCATTAAATAAAATAACTTATATTACATTGTTTTGTTTTTTTTTTTTTGTAATAACTTCTTAAAAGTCTCAATATCCGATGATAATATTAATTCGAACAGTATCGAACCCCATAATAAAGATGTTTTCCCAATTTTCACCCTCTATATCACCACCCTAAGTATATTAAGCTTCATTTTAGGAGGCAGTATAATAGCTATTCATCACTTATAATCTAATTTAGTTCTTTTTCATAATTTGTTAGTAAAACTTATCAATATTCCTTAACATTCAAGTAAGAGTTTCAAATTTGAATTTCATGCTTTATTATTTAAATTATATTAAATTATAAAATATAAATCATTAAATAATTATAAATCTATCTCTATCTCTATCTAATAGTTATGAATCTAATATAATTTAAAATGCATTATCTTTTTTTCTTCATAACTTATGTTGAGAGCTTTTTTCAGATTTTGAATTATGGACGAGCTCAATTTTACTATATAAAAATAAATTAATAATAATTTTTTCAGCCAAAATCAAGATATTCTTAATCTGGTGCAGGATTTGCTGGGGGATACAGAAAACCCACCTTTCCGAACAACAAAGACAGGACAGCACGTCTGTTGCTCTGGCACGTGCCAACTCACCTAAAATTCCAAAATTTTGGAAATTGCCATCAAATTTCGCTCTTCATCTGTTTCCTTCATCAAACTTCCCCCTCAAACAATCCCAAACCCTACCCCAATTCAATTCTCAAGTACCATTCCGTAGCTCAATCTTGATTTACGCCCGAATCCCTTATTCTTCTTTTCTCGCTCCGATCATCGGTAAGTCCTCGAATTCGGAATTCATTTTCTTTACTCAACCTATATGCCTGTCTCAAGGCTAGGGTTTCAAGGGTTTTATCCCTCATTCTGAAATTCTAGTATTGGTTTAATTTCTGGGTCATTTTCCTTTTTAAATATTTGATGTGAGATGACAAGGGTTTCGAGTAATTTTTTGTATGGTACTAAAAATCCCAAATTTTGTGGGATTTTTAATGGGTTTTGCTTTATTGTTTTACTCTTTTTGTTCTACAACCGGGTAGATTTTATAAGGGGTCCTCGTTTTAGGCAATCATCCTCTTTTATTGATTATGATGGGTATGAGAGACCTGTTTTTGGTTATAAAATGAGTCATGTAACTGTGATCCGTCGAGGAGTAAGTGAAATTGGCGATAATTCGACGAATGTAGCTGATGGGCGTGATCAAGAGAGCAGTTTAAGTGTAAACGATGCTGCCCTGTGTAGTGGATTGCTTAATCATGTGGGATATGCGAATGAATGTGAGTACTTGAAGGCAAACCCACAATGTTCATCAGACGGATTCTTTGATTATGTTAAGTTCTTTTATTGTTCTTGTGGGGAATTCAGAATATTGGGTTATTTGGTGTTGGGTATTTGGCTAGCTGCGTTGTTTTATCTATTGGGTAATACAGCGGCTGATTACTTCTGCTGTTCGTTGGAGAAACTTTCTGCTCTCTTGAAGCTTCCTCCAACTGTTGCTGGGGTGACACTTCTTCCATTGGGGAATGGAGCTCCAGACGTTTTTGCAAGTATAGCTGCCTTTGTGGGAATTGACACAGGGGAAGTGGGCTTGAATAGTGTGCTTGGAGGTGCAGTGTTTGTTACTTGTGTTGTTGTTGGGATCGTCTCCCTCATTGTGGCAGAGAAGGAAGTTCAGATTGATAAAAGGTGCTTCATTAGAGATATATGTTTTTTCCTTTTCACTCTCATGGCACTTTTGATTATATTGATAATTGGTAAGGTGAGTGTTGGGGGTGCCATCGCATTTGTCTTGATATATGTGATTTATGGGTTTTCTGTTGCCGCAAATGAGATTTTGAGGAAGCAAGCACAGAGGTTTAAATTGGATTCTGTAACGCCATTGCTTCCTGTCCGAGGTAGTATATTTTCACATGGTGGTGAAGAGGACATTCCTTTACATGTTTCTCTCCTTGACATGGATACTGGAGATGATCCACCCCAACTCCATAGTTCTCTACCACAGTGGATGTGGGCTTCAAATGTGGCAATATACTCTAACCACTTCATGAAGGTCAGCATGGCTGATGAAGAAAGGCCTCCATTGGGCTGGACTGAAGAGGGCACAGAAACTGATGAATCGAAATTCTCATGTTCAAAAGTAATTTCGTTATTGGAGTTGCCATTGACAGTGCCAAGACGGTTAACTGTTCCACTAGTTGGGGAAGCGATGTGGTCAAAGCCGTATGCTGTAGCAAGTGCTTCATTGGCTCCTATTCTCTTGGCATTTCTGTGGAGTAGGGATTCTCAGGGACAAGTGGCAGTATATTTCATTGGAGTTGCAGTTGGTTGCTCTCTGGGTATTCTTGCATATCGGCATACTCAATCTGATCATCCACCTAGAAAGTTTTTAATTGCATGGGTATTAGGGGGATTTTTTATGAGTATCGTCTGGTTTTACATGATTGCTAATGAGCTTGTTGCTCTCCTGGTGACATTTGGTCTGATTTTTGGAATCAGTCCATCCATTCTTGGATTAACTGTATTGGCATGGGGCAATTCAATGGGAGATCTGGTGTCAAATATTGCACTGGCAATGAATGGTGGAGATAGTGTACAGATTGCCTTGTCTGGATGTTACGCTGGCCCCATGTTCAACACACTTGTTGGTTTGGGTATCTCAATGCTGCTTGGAGCCTCGTCAAAGAGACCTGCTTCATACATGGTTCCGCAAGACAGCAGCCTGTTTTACACCATGGCATTTCTCATGTCAGGACTAATCTGGGCACTCATAGTTTTGCCTCGAAATGAAATGCGTCCGAGCAAGGCATTAGGAGTGGGCCTTATATCCCTCTATTTGATGTTTCTGTTTGTCCGGGTGAGCACTGCTATGGGATTTGTATCATTGTTTGGTTTAAGTTGATTTTATGTCTGGGGCTTGTTTACACCCTGTGATGTAAGGATCTTTAGATCAATTAGCTCAATTAGCTCAATCATTTATTAGCGACATGAACAAGTCAGCTGCAGCGGCTTGGAAATAGCTGCTTGTATATCCAGGCATAATGTATACCTACTTGAGAAGGAGAATCTGATGTTAAACATACTGCTGACCCCAAATAAATAGTGGAGATATCTGTTTTCACACGCGTTCTATAAATTCAGCTGCAGATCCGTATTCATCCCTTTGAAAAATGCTTTCATTTGTCCTGTTTGCAATTTTATTTTACTTCGCATATCTTCATTCTGAAAATTTGCTAGAAATAAATGTTACCGTTGGGGGTGTGCATCCGAGATCCAGTTAGTCTTTTAGCTCACATGGCAAGTGCAACTGGTTGAGTGCTGGTAGGTGCACTTGGTTGAGAGCCGGTTCCAGC